TCTGGGTGATAGCTGAGTATGGGCACCTAAATTGACACTTCCATTGCATGTACTTGCCCTTTTGTGTGAGCAAGGGGCAGGCAGGGAGTTCTTGGGCTTTGGCTCTCAGCTGCATTTCCTTTATTGCTTTTCAATCTTATTTTTAAAAAGATTTCTTTTACAGGGGCCAGTGCTGCGGCATAGCAGTTAAAGCTGTCACCTGTGGTGCCAACATCCCATCTGGGAGCTGGTTTGAGTTCTGGCTGCTTCACTTTGACTGGGTATCCACGTGAGATGCCGGTACTGCAGGTGGTGGCTTAGCCAGCTATCCCACAGCATGGGCCCCTTATTTTCTTCTTCATTTGTAGCCTTATTCCTTTGTATTCACTCTCCCTCTTGTTTGGCTCTTTTATGTTTTCCCCCTTCTACCTGATCCCACAGAGGGGTTTTGTGTGTGTGTGTGTGTGTGTGTGTGTGTGTGTGTTTTCCTTTTGGCTTTCTTTGGTTCTTTCTTTGATAACAGGTATGCGGTATAAATTTACACACCATAAAACACACAGCTCTTTCTTGAACAGTCCTTGTGTAGTTTGACAGGTGCATGGACTTGGAAAACTAACACCAAAGTCAGCGGCCAGAACTGGCCGTTGCCCCGGCACGTCGCTCAGTACACACACTGGTCCGACACCACCCCGTGCTCCATGCCGCAGTTTTGCTGGGCTCTGTGTAATCTGTTTCTGCGCACGTGTGGCATTTCACTCTGGGGTTTGTGTCCTTTTGTGTATCTGTCCCTATGCATGGAAGAGACCCCAGTGGGAAAGGAGGAGGTGAGGATAGGAGACCAAGTGTAAGTGAGTGTGACAGGAGAGGGGCAGACTTGGTGGTGACTTCACATTGCCTGCAGGGACCCCAGGAAGCATTGTTTGGTCTCTCTTTTTTTTAAAGATTTATTTATTTTTATTGGAAAGGTAGATATACAGAGAGGAGGAGAGACAGGAAGATCTTCCATCCGATGGTTTACTCCCCAAGTGACCGCAATGGCTGGAGCTGAGCTGATCTGAAGCCAGGAGCTTCTTCCCGCTCTCCTATACTGGTGCAGGGTCCCAGGGCTTTGGGCCATCCTCGACTGCTTTCCCAGGCCACAAGCTGGATAGGAAGTGGGACTGCCAGGATTAGAACTGGTGCCCATATGGGATCCTGATGCATTCAAGGCGAGGACTTTAGCTGCTAGGCTACAGTGCCAGGCCCAGTCTCTGCTTTTGTGTACCCCTTTCCAAGCTATCCCCTCCTCCCAGCCCTTACCCTATGTTCCTGGTAAAGCCTGACTGCTCCTGCCAGGAAAACAACCTCAGGGAGCAAGTGACACCTCTGCTGGCTCGGGAGCCTCTCCCCCCCACAGGAAGTTGGCTCCATTGAGCTCCTTCCCTGTCTGTCCTCTCCTATGTGTCCCAGGCCAGGGAGGGCCGTACCGGCTCCCTGGGGAACACACTGAAGCTGCCACCAAGTGCGGCTGTCATGTGGGGTGTGGCCTGGCAGGCTCTGCAGGCTGCTGTCAGGGACCCTCTTTCTGCCAGCTGGGAGGTAGTCCCCCCAACCCGCCCCGAAGGAAGACAGAGGCCCTTGAGGCCCACACTGCCCGCCTGCTTGGCATGAGACAGTCTTGGGAGGCAGCTGAGTAGCTGTGCGCAGGATGTAATTAGTCAAACGACTGGCGTCAGCCTCCCTCCCCTCCTGTCCTGGAGATGGCAGTGGGCACGGCACAAGGGCAAGGCCAGCACAGCTTTGGGGAGCTCCAGGCCCTCAACAAACACTAATTGAACACATGGCCACGATCAGGTGCTGGCCAAGGTAACAACAGGAGGGAGGTGCCGCAGCTTGAAGTCCACAAGGTTGCCTGTATTTTCTCCATGATCTTAGCGGGGTACATAGAGAGGTGGCACTCAGAGGTCACACTCAGCCTCCAGAGGCTATTGGTAGGGTTAGTCTGGATGGAAGGCCCCAGTGGCCTGTCCTTAGGCTCTGTCTGGCTCCTTCTCCTCCCTTTTTCCCCCCCAAATGAATAATCAAAAGATCTGTATGGAAACACCTGTAACTCAGCTTTGTTTTGCCAGGGTCCCATTCATGATTTTTACTCACACACACACAAGTCTTGAGGAGTCATGAGCATACCCGACAGACCACATGATACTTGTACAGATAAGGATGTTACATGTAACAAATGTCAGTACAGCTCCCAAGAGGTGGACATGGAAGGACAGAGACTTCACTTCACGTCATCCAGTACGCAAACCTGTGAAAACATTCCTGACTGCTCCATAGCTACTCACACTCCCCGCACGTCAGTCAGGGGTCACTCGCGACCTTTGGTTTGGGGCCTCTACCTGCCATCATTTGTCCAGGTGTTTAAGGTGGGAAGCGCTGATGGCTGCCTTATCCTTAGACATGAGATAGACACTTGCAGCAAGAATGCTGTGAGCACTAATGCCGTGTTCTTTCTTCTTCTTCTTCTTTTTTAATACTTATTTATTTTTATTGCAAAGTCATATACAAAGAGGAGGAGAGACAGAGAGAAGATCATCTGTCCTCTGATTTACTTCCCAAGTGGCCTCAGTGGCTGGAGCTAGTTCATTCGCCAAGTGGCTACAATTGCTGGAGCTGAGCCAATCTGAAACCAGGAGCCAGGAGCTTCTTCTGGGTCTCCCATGCGGGTGCAGGGTCCCAAGACTTTGGACCATTCTTTACAGCTTTTCCAGGCCACAAGCAGGAGGCTAGATGGGAAGAAGGGTTGCCAGGATTAGAACTGGCGCCCATATGGAATCCCCTGCGTACAAGGCGAGGACTTTAGCCCCTAGGCTACCGTGCCAGGCTCATGTCATGTCCTATTATTGGAAAGGCAGATTTACAGAGAGATGGAGAGACAGAGAAGCATATCTTCCATCTGATGGTTCACTCTCCAAGTGGCCACAATGGCCAGAGCTGAGTCAGTCCAAAGCTAGGAGCCAGGAGCCTCTTCCAGGTCTCCTATATGGGTTCAGGAACGCAAAGCTTTGGGTCGTCCTTTACTGCTTTCCTAACTCACAGGCAGGGAGCTAGAAGGGAAGTGGAGCAGCCAGGACTGCAACTGGTGCTCTATGGGATACTGGCACTGCAGGTGGAAGCTTAAGTGCTATGCTGCGGTGCCAGCCCCGATGCTATGTCGTGTGTGTGTGTCTCTTTCTTACAGCACCACATCAGGAGGTGAATTAGGTCAGACAGGCCCATTGCAGGTGATGCCACTTTTGGCCACTTAGTTTAGATGGTCAGCAACAGACACACTGTCCTGCAGGAAATCACCTGAAAACACACTTGGCTGGCAATTTCCTCTCAGTCTCCCACCCTGATCCTTGTTTTGCATTCAGGTTTTCTGATTGTATCATGTCATCTGCATTCTCTTTCGCAAGTATTTTCTATAAAGGAAGCTTGCTTTCAGTTTCACTGGAGACAGATAACCATTTTAATTTGATGTATCAAATTCATGACTTCATTATGCCTTTGTTGCTTGGAGTGGTCATCCCCCCGCTGGCTCCTGGGCCCTTCCATTCACCTTTGGTCACTTCTTTGCCTTGTCATCCAAAAAAAAAAAAAAAGTCCCGGGTTTACAGAACACTCTCCCTCCCGCCTCCTTTTATGGCAGAGAGGTGCTTAGAGACTTTTAAGCGCCCAGCTGCTCCCCTGCTGCCGTGTTTGCATCAACAGCTTGAATGAAGTTGCATTGTGTACTCACCTGACTCACCTGAGGAAGGGGATGCTTGATTACAGTCTAGTCTCAAAGTAGGATGAAATCTGGACCAGAGGAACAGATTTTAAAGACATTGGGGTCTAGTCCTGTGCCCTGTTGAGTCAGTTGCGTAAACTCAGGTTTGGGGACCCCTTTGCTGGACCAGTGCTGCGGGAGCCCTAGCCATCCGCCCTCTGAGCCAGCAGTGTCCTGTGACTCTGGGTGAGGGGCTGGACTGTGGAGCACTTACCTGCCTTTGTTTTGAAAGATTCTCATGGCTGCTGTGTGTGTGTGTTGAGGGGGTGGTGAAGCTGGGAGGGACAGGATGGACAGGCCACAGGCGAAGAAGTACTGGCAGTTGGGGGAGGAAGGGGAGCCAGGTGCTGGACTGGACGTGAGGAATGAAAGAAAACAGCAAGTCCAGGTGCTGAGCCGGGGTGGCTTGCAGATGGACGCAGTTATCTGTACAGGTGGGAGGAGTCGAATGTGGGATGCCTATGGGACAGCCAGGTGGAAGTGGTGAGGACTCCATTTCTAGAGGGGGCACCTAACCACGCTGAGGCGTGTGCTGGCAGCAGGAGGAGGCACCTGGGACCTTGCTGACCTTGGGGGTGGCTCTGAGGACGCCCCACCTAGGTGGGAGTGGGCCAGAGCCCAGGACAGCGGGCCCATGGCCATGGAAATGACTGGCAGGGGTTTTCAGGCTTCTGTTGACTCTGACCGCAGGAGGTGATTTGCCTTGCCGTCACCCTGTGCACACTCGGGAAAAGTTGAAACAGGTTTCCCAAAACTTCCGCATCCTTCCTGTATGCCCAGCCCCCTAGTGCAGCAAGGATTCAGAACTGGCTTGGGTGAGTCTGCAGCTGGAAGCCCTGTTCTTGGCCAAGCTGAGTTCCTCCTGGAAGATGAGGTGCCCCTGGGAGTCTGCTTCTGCTCTGGGGGCGTCTTCTCCTCTGCTGGCTTTGGTGTACTTGTAGGGAAGGTCTCCTTGGGATAGTCTATTAAATTCCATTATTCTATTCCCTCCCCCCATCTGGAGATTCAGTGGGAGGGGTTGTGCTTGGCTTGAATGTGTTGCACAGAGGACCCTTCAAGTTGCCTACACTGAGCACAGAGCCTCGAGTTCATGCCCCTCCAGCTGGGTGGATTGCACCCTCAAGCAGCAGCAACCCCTCTCGCGCCTCCGCAAGCCCGGCCGGGTTCATTCGTTCCCAGACAAGTGGGTGCCAGGAGCAAGGGAGCAGGGGCCGTGCTAAGGGAGGAACCGGGGCTTCTCCAGAAACGCCTAGAGAACAGATACGCTTCCAAACCAGCGCCTCCACAATGGGCCCCCAGACGGCAGAGAGGCCTGAGAGGTGGGCTGGGGGTGGGGGAGGGAGGCTGGTGATCCCAGGTGCAGCTCACCGGCTCCATGCTTGCTTGCAGCCCGGGCAGGGGCAGGGGGAAGGGCGGGCTGCGCTCCCGCCCCACTTCCTCCCGCGGCGGGGGGCCGGGGAGGGGTCGTTGACCACGTGACCCTCCAGGTCCGGAGGCGGAGGCCAGCGCTCGAGGACGCGGGGGCGGGGCGGAGCCACCGCCTGGGAGTCCACCGGAGCAACCTGAGCTGCCAGCCGAGGAAGCCATCGCCTACTGCTGTCCCGGTCCGGCGCGCCGCCATGGGCCGGGGGATCCGGGGCGCGCTGCCGCCTGGGCCGCCGCCGCTGTATCTGCTGCTGCTGCACCTCCTGCTGCCGCTGCCTGCAGCGCGCACGTACAGCCCCCGGATCAGCCTGCCGCTGGGTGAGTGCGGGGACCTGCGGGAGCCGGGCGGGCCGAGGGGTGCTGCGTGCGATGGGGGCCGTGACAAAGGCTGATGGAGACCTACTGGAGGCTTAGGGTCCCTCCCCGATTCAAAGCGAGGCCGGAGGGCGGGAGTGTGAGAATGGAGCTCCGGGCCCCTTTCTTCTGTTTTCTTTCCGGTAGAGGAGGGGGCGTCACCAGTTCTGTCCCCTCCTCTCCATCCCTTGGGAAGGTGAGGTTTCTGCGGGCTGAGTGAGCCTCTGCTGTCCATTTGTCTTTGATGCTGACCAGAGCTGGTTGCATTGTGCCCCATTCCACCCTAGGAGTTGTGAACATAGGGTTCAGCCTCTCTCAGTAACTATCCGGGCAGATCTGAAGGGAACCCAAGGCTGTCAGGGCATGGCGGCAGCTCTGGCCCCAGGGTGCAGTCCCCCTTCCCCCATGAGGTTCCCAGCGCCTTCTTGTGCGGCTACCTCCTCCAGTTCTCTGCTCGTCCCTCTGGCTGTGCCCTACGGTGCAGTGGCTTCTCCAGTCCCTCTGGGCCTGTAGCTTTGGGATTGGCGGGTTTGGGGTCCCAAGCCCATTGCTGCTGGGGGTGGGGGCGAGGAAGTGCCATCTGCTTGCTCCCTGCTGGGGTTTGCCTCCTTTGCAACATGAGCACAAGTGCAGGTGCCTTGCAAGGCTGCACTGAGCTTCAGGGAGCCTTGGAGTATGGCACAGACATAAAGCATATGGGTGTCCCAGCTGTGCAGCTTGTTGGGGCCACGTTGTGTGAGTTCCAGCAAAGCGTCGGGAATCGGGCTTCCGATACTTAGAGCATCCCCACCCCTACAAGTGTGGTCTTTGCACAGGGAAGCAGTGGAATCAGCACTGCAGTTAAGGCAGGGCCCTGGTGGCCCGAGGTATACTGTCGCAGCCCCTATTTGACACACTGCACATGCCCTGGGTTCAAATCCAGCTTTAACCACTTAGTAAGCATGTGACCCGAGCGGGCAGCTTGGCCTCCTTGAGCCCTTGCTTCCTCATCTGTAAGGCAGGGGTGATGATGATGATGATGATAACAGTGCCTGCATTAGCGCTGTGAGGGTTAGGGTTAGATAAGTCCTTCCCGCATGCTTGGAAAGTGTCAGCTGTCACCTGGTTAGGCACCAAGGTCAGAGCCTTCTCTGCAGTTGCTCAAAGCAGCGGGAAGTGGGGTGGGAGGTGTGTGTGCTGTGCTCAGCCCTGGCCTGCCACCTTGCTGCTGCCAGTCTATTGCACCCCCACCCCCTTGGCCCTTGGCCTCTCAGCTTTGGGGGAAGAAGCAGTAGGAGGGGACCAAATATTGCCATGAGTCTCCCTTATAGCTGTGGGCCAGCTCCTGGGCATGGCCTGTGCCATGGGGCTGGACCCAGAGGGTGTTGGGCAGGCAGACTTGGGGAAACTGTAGGGGTAGAAATCATAAGAGCAGAAAAAGAAAAAAAAAAAAAAAAAGAAAAAGGAAGGAAAGAAAGAAATCCTAAGAGCAGTTAGGATGTCTGAGTTGCTGTCACTCGTGCAGCTCCCAGACCTGGCCACTTCTACGAACTCGTGACTGCCCAGGGGCTCTGCACAGGTCACAGCTGCCATGGATGGGCGTGCATTTTGTGAACTGTGTAACTGGGTGACAATGTCCCGTTCTCTAAGCTGTGCATTCAGAGCAGACCACCCCTCTCTCTTAGGCCGAGTCTGCCCGCAAGGCCCCTTTTCCGTTCCTCCCTCAAAGCCCTGAGAGGATTTGGTGTTGGCAGGCCCTGCTTGATGGAACTTCCCCTCCCTGGTACTACACTCCTCCCCCATCTACATGCTGACCCTTGCCAAGGGGAATGCCCTGGTGACTGCACAGCAGTTCCCCCTGCATGGTTTCCTGTCTCTCTCCCCCCTGGGGGCTCGTTAGATGTCCCTGGCATTGGGGCGGTTCTGCATATGCCTCTCTCGGGGCCATCAGCTTGAAACTGAAACCTGCACCTCCCTTTCCTGCCATGTGCCATCTGCCCTCCCCTCCCCTCCTGAATTTCCCACCCAAGCCATGAGGACCCAGATACCTCAGGATGGTGAGCTGTGTCTGGTAGTGGTGCAGTGGGACAAGCTGCTGCTTAGGGGACCTACACACCTGCAACCTATATGGCAGTGATAGTTCCAGGCCTCGCTGCTCTGCTTCCTGTCCAGCTCCCTGCTAATGCGCCTGGGAGGCAGCAGATGATGGTCTAAGTGCTTGGGTTCCTGCCACCCACGTGAGATTCTCCTGGGGTTTCTAGTTCCTGGCTCCTTGCTGGCCCAGCCCCGGGGTGCTGCAGCCATATGGAGAGTGTGCCAATGGATATTTCTCTCTTTCCCACTGTCATTTTGCCTTTCAGATCAATAAGTGATTCTTTAAAAAATAAAGGAAGGTTCCTTGAAGAGGACTACCCAGTTTGCTTTGTGTTGCTGCTGGGTCCGTGGTCTCATCCAATGGTGGGAGTTCTGGGGCCCCAGTGTCAGCTGGAAGTCTCTAGAAGGAATGCCTCAACCAGGCACAGAGAGCTTGGCTACTTTGGTGCTGCAAACTGCCAGATCAGGATGGGGTCGAGGGGAGTGGCGAGGCTCAGTGAGAGACAGTGGCCTTACTGGATTGGGGCCAGTGAGGGGTGGGGGGTGTTCTAGGGCTGCCCAGCTAGGTCATGTGGGGAGAAACAACACAAACCTGCCCCTTGACTCTCCAAAGCCTCCCCAGCACCCCTTATTTGGGCAGTTAAAACGAGTCAGTGATTTCCCCCTGTCCCTGAAGTGGCTGGCTAGCTGGCTGGGAAGCCACACACACAGGGTCCATGGAACAGACTGGTCTGCCAAGTGCAGCCAACAGAACCTCACTGAGGCGAGAACAGGGCATTTGGCAAGGATAGACTGTTAGGCCTCTGACCTTCGAGCAGGCCTCAGTTCAAGGCTGCCCTGAAGGGCCTCCGGGTGTGCTGGCCGCTGGATGAGGCCCTCACTCCTTGGCGTGACCCCCACTCACTTGGCTTGAGCCTTTTCTTCAGCTCTGCCTTATAGGCCCACGTCTTGCCCCAGGGCCCAGCAGAAAGAGCACTAGCTGTGGCTGCTGGGGCCTAGCTGCGCAAGCTGGCCTGTCATAAGCCTCTTGTCATGTTGGTGAGGCTGAGCCAAGGGCAGGACCTATCTGCCCTCGTCCTGGGAGCACCACAGGAAGTGACGTTTATGGAGTGTGTGGCATGGGGTCAGACACTACTCCGCTGTGCCCCAGACCCCCCGCCCACCTGCCTGCACCCCCTTGGTGTCCGCGGTCTGAGCTGAGTGCTGGCTGGAAGTAGTTTCTGCCAGTTGGAGCTGTACCATGCATGACGTGTAGGGCAGTGTAGACCTTACCCTGTACCCTTTGCTGTGGCAGGGAGAGCCAGGCAAGGCCCCAGGGTATCAGATGCTCCTAGCCCAGCCCCCCTGCCTGGCCTTGGCCCACAGCCCCCTTCCTTGTGCCCTGTGCTCGAGTCCCCGTTCAGCTGGTGTGGAGGGTCTATGTGTAAGCCCCAGAGGGCTCTGAATTTGTCCAGCTGTAGCATATTTCATCCTGCAGGCCAGGCAGACAGTGACACGGGGCTGGTGGAGACGAACCTCTTACGCTGTCGGTCACTGCCCCCTTCTTCCTCTTTTTTTTTTAATATAGCTTTTTTTTAAAAAAAATTATTTATTTTTATTGGAAAGGCAGATATACAGAGAGACAGAGAGGAAGATCTGTCCAATGGTTCACTTCCCAAACGGCTGCAACTCCTGGAGCTGAGCCAGTACGAAGCCAAGAGTTTCTTCCGGATCTCCCATGCGGGTGCAGGGTCCCAAAGCATTGGGCTGTCTTCAAATGCTTTACCAGGTCACAGGCAGGAAGCTGGATGGGAAGTGGAGCCACTGGGACTAGAACCAGTGCCCATATGGGATCCCGGGGCGCATTCAGGGCAAGGACTTTAATTGCTATGCTGTCATGCCAGGCCTGGTCACTGCCCCCTTCTCCCTGGAAGGGCCTTTGCCTCCCTCCTCCCCTCTATGGCTGGCTGCAGCCCGGAAGACCTCTGATGTGGCCGTCCCTGGAGGTCAGAGGGGAGAAGTACAACGGACAGTACGGCTCTGTGGTCAGCTTTGTGGTGCCACCTGCTTCGACAGGCTGCATTCCCCAGCTCTTTCCCAGCTATGAATAGGGAGTGAGGTGGCTGTAGGCACCCTCTCCATCTCCCAGCATGCCCAAGGCCACCCGTCTGACCTCTGCTACCAGTTCTGACGGATCCCTCGGTCACTGTCTAGCCACTGCTCTGAAATGACCATACCATCTCTGCCGCAGGGCAGGAGCTGGCCTTCTAGCCCTTAGTGGCACAGGACATAAGGGGATGGTACATGGAGCCCAGTAGGCAGCAAGCTTTGCAGCTATTCTCTGTTACAGGCCAAATTGTAGTTGTGTCCAACCTGGGGATCCGCACCCAAGCCTGGGCCTGTCCCATTCTCCGTAGAGCTACCTGTTCAGCACTCAGGGGCTGGCCCAGGAAGCCCCTCTGCTGGCTTAGCGGGCTTCCCCAAGATGGGAGATCCATGTTGAAGGGTCTTCAGTGAGGATGGGAGACTGAGTCCCCATCACTGGAGCCCAGACGAGGGACATAGTTCGGTGAGTTACCCCTTCTTGCCCACCCCCAGGCATTAAGACACTGGCCAGCATGCTTCCATCCTGTATCGCAGTGCTTGGCCTTGTGGATTCCCTCTTTCTGATATCTCATACTTGTACCCTAGGTGGCAGCTCAAGTGGTTGGCCCTCCGCCACTCACCCACTCACGTGGGAGACCCAAATTTGAGTTCTAGGTACCTGACCCAGCCATGACTGGTAAACATCTGGGGAGTGAACCAGTACATGAGAAATCTGTTTCTGTTTTTCCTTTCTCTGTTTTAAAATTTACTTATTTTCATTGGAAAGTCAGATCAGACTTAAAGAGAAAAGGAGACAAAAATCCTCC